CCAAAAAATATTAATGTTTAGCGTAATAGTCAGAATATAACAGGTTAATGAGGTGCCATCAACATACCTTCGTCCCGTAGGTCATTTCTGCTCAGGTGTGATGGTCGCGTTTTCTATACTGTTGCTATGTCCCGAGTAAACATTTTTTTCTGATTTAGTCTTCAAAATGGTCACTTATATTGTTTGTAAGTCGTTCTCACATATTAACATAAATAGTTCACTTATTGATGATAATGTTGTTGTAATATTGTTAATGTTAATAATGTTAGTTACGCATAAACACCGAAAAACACAGAGAAAAAATTATCACTCTTCACCCTCCGTTAGACTGATGCTCACTGTGCCTGTACCTGTGTGTCAACGTGTTGCGTCATCACCTCCCTGCTCTTGATTGGTCATCGACACCCATCTATGGCGTCTAATTGGTCAGTGTCACTCTCCTTCACCCCTGATTGGTCATTGCAGCCCGTCGGGAAGTCTATGCTTGTTATCCATCATCTCCCTCATTTCTTAACACATTTACGCTATTCCTGTCACGTTATTGATGATATAAACTGAAATACTGCGCCGAAATATATTTAATACACTCTATAGTTTGTTTAATACCCAGAAACATACACAGATAAAGAGATGGGTAGATGTGGGTAAGGCTAGACGGGATGAAGTAGGGACAGACGGGCGGATATTTACGTAGGAACCAACGAACGGATAGCCACCCACCCACACAACACAGGCCAGGGTACAACACTATTATCCACACTATGATTTCTGGCCATAAGTGACATTGTAGTGATTTACGACCGTTCAATGAAGCCAGGTCGACGGAGGAAATATTTCAAGACGAGTCACACAAGCGAAGACGAATGCTTACGGTAATTTCTTTTCGATGAGATAAATCACCGATTATTCTTCAACGACCAGATAAATTACCCAATGATCGCTGAGACCATTAAGCCTGCAATATATGAAACACTACCACCAAAAATCATGGGAAGTAACGTCATACAAGAGATTTAGAAATATTTAAGGTTTGTTCTGGTGGTGGTGGTCCGAACGGGGTCTGACGATGTTAAGTGACAATAACACGTGTTGGACCATGTTAAGTGACAATAACACGCGTTGGACCATGTTAAGTGACAATAACACGTGTTGGACCATGTTAAGTGACAATAACACGTGTTGGACCATGTTAAGTGACAATAACACGTTAAATTACAGCGACAATAACACGTGTTGACCACGTTGTGACAATAACACGTGTTGGACCACGTTATGACAATAACACGTGGACCATGTTAAGTGACAATAACACGTGTTGGACCATGTTAAGTGACAATAACACGTGTTGGACCACGTTAAGTGACAATAACACGTGTTGGACCATGTTAAGTGACAATAACACGTGTTGGACCATGTTAAGTGACAATAACACGTGTTGGACCATGTTAAGTGACAATAACACGTGTTGGACCATGCTAAGTGAGAAAGTACCATCTGCAAGTATTTAAGTAAGCGTCAATAACTAAGGTCTTTAAGTATTCTAAGTAAGTACATACACTTGTCATTAATAATACGATACAAAAACATATTATTAGTTTTAAATAATATATAGATCCAGATGTGTTCAATATTCTCACAGACAACAACAGCAGATATATACTGTACATGTTTGTGAACCGTCAAGCATTAACCAACAGACCATAGCACCTAAGACTGCTCTCTTCCTTCCCTCTCTTCTCCTTCTCTCCTCTCTCTCTCTCTCAGTCTCCAGGATATCTCCTACATTATTCCAAGTGAGAGACGAAGGACTGATAAACACAAGGAGACGCGGAAAAGGTAGAGAGCTGTGAGAGACTTGAGCCGCCCGTAAAAGTGTATCTCAAAGGAGGTAGAAGAAGGAGGAGGAGGAGGAGGAAGAAGGAGTGTGGATAGGCGGGTGGGAAGGAGGAGGAGGAGGAAGAAGGAGTGTGGATAGGGGGGTGTGGAAGGAGGAGGAGGAGGAAGAAGGAGCGTGGATAGGGCAGGTTTGTGGGAAGGAGGAGGAGGAAGAAGAAGGAGTGTGGATAGGGGTGTGTGGAAGGAGGAGGAGGAAGAAGAAGAAGAAGGAGGAGGAGGAGGAGGAGGAAGAAGGAGCGTGGATAGGCGGGAGGTGGGAAGGAGGAGGAGGAAGAAGAAGAAGAAGGAGGAGGAGGAGGAGGAAGAAGGAGTGGATAGGCGGGAGTGTGGAAGGAGGAGGAGGAAGAAGAAGGAGTGTGGATAGGCGGGAGTGTGGAAGGAGGAGGAGGAAGAAGAAGGAGTGTGGATAGGCGGGTGTGGAAGGGAGCGGATAGGCGGGTGTGTGGAAGAAGGAGAGGGAGAGGGAAGAAGGAGCGTGGATAGGCGTGGGTGGTGGAAGGAGGAGGAAGAAGGAGTGTGGATAGGCGGGAGTGTGGAAGGAGGAGGAGGGAAAGGAGTGGATAGGCGGGAGTGTGGAAGAGAGGAGGAAGAAGAGTGGATAGGCGGGTGTGGAAGGAGAGAGGAGGAAGAAGAAGGAGCGTGGATAGGCGGGGGTGTGTGGAAGGAGGAGAAGAAGGAGCGTGGATAGGCGGGAGTGTGGGAAGGAGGGGAGGAGGAGGAGGGAAGAAGGAGCGTGGATAGGGGTGTGTGGGAAGGAGGAGGAGGAGGAGGAGGAGGAGGGAGGAGGAGGAGGAGAGGGAGAGGGAAGAAGGAGCGTGGATAGCAGGGTGTGGGGAAGAAGAAGAAGGAAGAAGAAGAAGAAAGAGGAGAAAGAGGCTGAAATATATGGTAATTTATACATCACGTTCGTTGTCGCCATTAGTATAAAACGGTGTGTGAACTACGACTCTCCCCTTGTTTACCTTCTGTAGTTTGTTTTGTTTACCTTCTGTTGTCTGTGTTGTTTACCTTCTGTTGTCTGTTGTTTACCTTCTGTTGTTTGTGTTGTTTACCTTCTGTTGTTTGTGTTTACTTTATGACTACCGTTTGTTTGTTTGCCTGTTTTATCCCTCCCTCCTTTGTTTTTCTTGTGTTCTTTTGTTTTTGGGGGAAAAACTAACTACTGTCTGTTTGTCTGTTTGTTAGTCCGTCTGTCAATTTTTCTGTCAATAACCTGTCTGTCTGTCTGTTAGTCTGTCTACTGTATATGTAGTTCCTCCTCAGTTTGTTTACATGGAGTTGTTTTCGGTGTTTTCGATATTTTCAGCTATTATTCTTTTTCTCTTCCTCTATTTACTCGCTTATCTCTTTTTTGTCCATTTTACTATCTGTATGAGTATTCTGAGTGTTTGCTTCTGGTTGCCTGAGTATGTGTGTTGATTCTGAGTGTCTGAGTGTTCGTGTGAGTATTCTGAGTGTCTGATTCTGGTTTCTGAGTATGTGTGTTGATTCTGAGTGTCTGAGTGTTCGTGTGAGTATTCTGAGTGTTTGCTTCTGGTTGCCTGAGTATGTGTGTTGATTCTGAGTGTCTGAGTGTTCGTGTGAGTATTCTGAGTGTTTGCTTCTGGTTGCCTGAGTATGTGTGTTGATTCTGAGTGTCTGAGTGTTCGTGTGAGTATTCTGAGTGTTGCTTCTTGGTTGCTCGAGTATGTGTTGATTCTGAGTGTCTGAGTGTTCGTGTGAGTATTCTGAGTGTTTGCTTCTGGTTGCCTGAGTATGTGTGTTGATTCTGAGTGTCTGAGTGTTCGTGTGAGTATTCTGAGTGTCTGATTCTGGTTTCTGAGTATGTGTGTTGATTCTGAGTGTCTGAGTGTTCGTGTGAGTATTCTGAGTGTCTGATTCTGGTTGCCTGAGTATGTGTGTTGATTCTGGAGTGTCTGAGTGTTCGTGTGGAGTATTCTGAGGTTTGCTTTGTTGCCTGAGTATGTGTGTTTATTCTGAGTGTCTGAGTGTTCGTGAGTATTCTGAGTGTTTGCTTCTGGTTGCCTTGAGTATGTGTGTTGATTCTGAGTGTCTGAGTGTTTGTGTGAGTATTCTGAGGTGTTTTTGTTGCCTGAGTATGTGTTGTTGATTCTTGAGTGTCTGAGTGTTCGTGTGAGTATTCTGAGTGTCTGATTCTGAGTTTCTGAGTATGTGTGTTGATTCTGAGTGTCTGAGTGTTCGTGTATATTCTGAGTGTCTGATTCTGGTTGCCTGAGTATGTGTGTTGATTCTGAGTGTCTGAGTGTTCGTGTGAGTATTCTGAGTGTCTGATTCTGAGTTTCTGAGTGTTTGTCTGTTTCTCATTAAAGATCGACTTGTTATTACATGAAATACGCAGTTATATAAATCTATCAACTTTTAGACTTAATTAAAAAATACAAAAAAATACATTACCCTTTTCGCATGATTTCAAAACAGGTATAAATTAAAGAGAGAGAGAGAGAGAGAGAGAGAGAGAGAGAGAGAGAGAGAGAGAGAGGTCATTCCAAGGACGAGATCACTCCAAGACCGGAATGAGACACAAGTTGACCGTCCTTATTATATTTCACTAATGACACGAACATTGTCTCTATCTGTCTGCCTGTCTGTCTGTCTGGTCTGTCTGTCTTCTGAAGTGGTTGCCATCATATAAGGGTTAAATTATCGTACTTAGGGTTGGCATCGCACTAAGGGACAAATCTTAGTACTAAGGGGACAAAATCATAGTACTATGATTAATCAGACATCTCATTAGTCAAATATTCAATCTTGCATATTCAACTTCTAATCAATCAAATCGAATCGAATCGAATCGAAACAAAATCAATCAATCAATCAATCAATCAATCAATCAATTCCTCTCTGGTTCAATCAACCCTGGGCCCGACAGAGCAATCAATCATAATTAGCATTAGTACAATTAGGGATTTACAGTTCTCAGCAGAATCTATTAGGCTGGGGTATTAACGTAATGGACCACTGAATACCGGACGAAAATCCCACCGAAAATGAGTTGGGTGGATTATCTTAAGCCAAAGTTTTGTAATCGTGTTGATGATGGGGATTTACAGCACGACAGAGATAATTCCCGGATTTATGGTATAATGTGGGAATTGTGGATTTACTACAGAATTATCGAGATGTTGAGGATTTACGTAAGCCTTGAGGACTTGCCTGATGCAGGATTACACACAGAGTTGCCTAAGACCTCTGTCGAGCGAATAGACAACGAGGGACTCGTTAGATTTAACAAGATGATTTCAAAGAAGGGGGAGGATTTAGACGGTAACACTTTACACAATACTGATAATATTTGAGGTACTGTACGAAAAAAAATCCTTTGACATTATTGACAATATCTGGCATTTCCTTGGAGGTCTGACAGTGAGGTACTAATATCCATTTATCCAGTGTTTGTGTGTGTATAATAATGTACGATTTTTACATGTTGTTATTCTGATATAATCTATTAGGAAACACAACGTCAGCCAATCAGAAAACACAACGTTCACCATACTTAACCTAAGGCACCTTCATTCCCTCAGCCAATCAGAAAACACAACGTTCATTATAGTTAACCCAACGCACATCATTCAGTCAGCAAATCAGTTACATTAAAAAAAAATCCCCCATAACTGATATATATAGTGTGAGGGAGTTTTATAAGCAACTGTACATCATGGATTCAGATTTTTATTGTACACTGGAGCGAGAAGACCTGACTCAGTCCATATGTGTATCAATCTTTCTGTGTCACCTGAAGATAAAGCACCCCAGTTTATTTCACTTAATGCTTAAATACCACAACGCTAAGTGGTGGGTTAGGTTAGGTTAGGTTAGGTTAGGATAGGATAGGTTAGGTTAGGTTAGGATGTCTTAGTAAAAGAAAAATACATGATTTAATATTATTACTTTTCTTAAATAAAAAAAAAAGTCATCAGGAAAATTAGTGAAACTAAAAGTTGAGTAGAAGTTTGACACACACACACACACACACACACACACACACACACACACACACACACACACACACATTCACCACACACACACACGCACACGCTCTGCATAATCATCTACACGCCGAAGAGGGTGGTGACGATGAAACTAGTCACGGCTTGCTGTGTGTGTGTGTGTGTGTGAGTGTGTATGTGGAGTGTGTGAGTGTGTGTGTGTTGTTTCTTATAATGGCTGTGTGTTGCAGGATGATTACTCTGCCACTCAAGGTGTTGCTTCATACCTGGTGAGCCTCTCCAGACAGTGCTTCACGCTCCACTCAGTATGACGATAGGTGTGTGTGTGTGTGTGTGTGTGTGTGTGCGTTTAAGCGTGATGTACACAGAAAAACGTTCAAACATACATATGAGCACACAGATTGTTCAAGCATACATATACACAGACAAACGTTCAAACAGACTTATACACACACAAATACATTTAAACGTACGTACATACATATAAACAAACGTTCGTACATACGCACATACAGACAAACGAGCTTTCACAGGTACGTACATATATACAAGCAAACGTTCACACACACACACACACACACACACACACACACACACACACACACACACATACACACATACTACACATACACACACACTGGCAAGAAGTTATAATTACATCAACTCTCACGTATATACATGTAACATATAATCCAATTTAATGCTATAATTTTCTTAATATGAAGACATAATGATTATCGCCAGCATAATTATACGTTACGAATCAAAGAAATCAATAATTTCTCCTCTAGTAATATAATTATATTTTGAAATTGCTTTGCTGTGGAATTTGATTATAATCTGTCGCACATTATGTAAACTAAGCGGGCAGTTTCAGCAGATAATGTGATTTTAACGCTTCCTTTATGTCTACTATGGCCAGATTCGTTACATATTGCCACATCATCTTATTTACATACACAAACATAACACCAAACTTAAACTTATTATCAACTTTTATCTCTCTCTTCATCTGTCCATTTTCTCACTTCCCATTTCCCACGTATATTAGTTTTCTGGAATTATCTATTCCTTATCGACTAATTCCCATTTAAATACTGAAAATATTACTTTAAGGAGGAAAGGGAGGGGGAAGGGGAAGATTCGAGGTAAGAGATTCGTTTTGTATCATAGAGGAAATATATCGAGTAAAGCCGGATTTTTACCTAGCAAGAGAAGAGTTTTATATCTCCCACAAAGAACTAGAATAATTAGGTAGAGTTATTACGAGACACGAGACTTATTGCGAGACATATTACGAGATTTATTACGAGATATGAGATTTATTATGGGACACGAGATTTATTACGAGACTTAATACGAGGCACGAGACTTATTACGAGACAAGAGACTTATTACAGAGACAAGAGACTTATTACGAGACAAGAGACTGTATTCCTCTATCTCTCACAGGAAGAGAGAGACAACTTCGCTACGCCTATAACGCACCACTAACAGATGCTTTATACCGACCTACCCAACCACTGCAGGAGTCAGTGGTCCTCAAACCCGTCCCCAAGAAGACCTCAAGGTAAGCCATCACCACCACTACCTCACCCACTACCTCCACCACTACCTCCAACACTACTAACATCATCACCACCACTACTACCATCATCACCATCACCACCCCCACCACCACTACCTCCACTACCACCACCACCACCACCACCACACACCTTCACCACCACCACCACCACCACCACCACCACCACCACCACCACCACCACCACCACCACCTCCCACCACTCACTCACACCACCACCACCACCACACTACCTCCACCACACCACCATCACCACCACCACACCTCTCACCACCACCACCACCACCACCACCACCTCACCACCACCTCACCACCACCACCACCACCACCACCACCACCTCTCACCACCACCACCATCACCACCACCACCACCACCTCACCACCCACCACCACCACCACCACACTCACCTTCACCACCACCACCATCACCACCACCACCACTACCTTCACCACCACCACCACCACCACCACCACTACCTCCACCACCACCACCACCACCACCTTCTCCACCACCACCACCACCACCACTACCTTCACTGCCACCACCACCACCACCACCACCACTACCTTCACCACCACCACCACCACTACCTTCACCACCACCACCACTACCTTCACCACCACCACCACCACCCACCACCACACCACCACCACTACCTTCACCACCACCACCACCACTACCTTCACCACCACCACACTCACCTTCACTACTTTCACACCACCCCACCACCACCACCGCGCCTCGTGTTTCAACATGGTGGGCTAAGAGAAACTTTAATGGTAGTCGTGTTATGCTTGTCGACATTCTCCCCTGACGCTGCGACCACAGGAGGCTGATGCATTATAGGTGTGTGTGTGTCTGTGTGTCTGTGTCTATGTGTGTGTGTGTGTGTGTGTGTGTCTGTGTGGCTCAGGTCATGTTCATCTGTTTGGTTGACCGTCTGTCTGTCTGTCTGTGTTTTCATATTTATGTAGAGAACCCAACTGCGCCTCTCTCTCTCTCTCTCTCTCTCTCAACCCCTGAACTATATCTGTACAGTGTCCTGGTTTCTTCACACCTCACACGCAACAACTTTTTACCCTCATGATTTCCTGGAATAAAGTGGCTCTCAATCAGCTCTCAGCGCCGTCAACAGGTAAACAACTGAAACAAATAAGCCAAAACAAGTGGGCATTTTTTCACAGATGATTTTTGAACGCATACACGTGTCCCAGCGAGGCCTAGGTCACATTATTATGATGTTTACTAAATAGTGTGGATTCCTGTATACTAAATGACGCTGTGAGGGGAGGAACATTACCTGTTTGGGGAGTGTTTACTATACTATACACACATACACTGATTTGTTTATAATACCTGTAGGATCTGAGTGTCTCTTTTTTTTTCGTTTTTACTTTTCATCAGCTAGACACATCAACACAACCTGCATTCACCCATAAAGTGATTATATAGAGGCAATACCATATTATATTATATAAATATTGACATAATTTTAACATTAAAAATGGAGACGATTAGTTTAACCTTATAGAGAACATCATAAGTATATATGAGATGATGGTATATACGGTAAGGTAGTCACACACACACACACACACACACACACACACACACACACACACACACACCCTCCAATGCTCACTCTGTGCACCACTGATAAAAATGATGACCTGCTCAGTCCCGGTGTCTTGTCACATACCAGGAGTGTGGCGGAGTTATCGGCTGGTTCAGTTCACCAGGAAGCCCAGACCAGCTCTCCTGACCCTGACTCAGGCCGTCTTAGTCTCCTCGAGGAGTTTAACAAAAATAACCTTTATTATATATCAAGAAAACTTTGCGTGTTTATCTTAAATCTTGAATCAATACATTATTTACAAGAGTCATTTTAGGACACCCAGTTCTAGTTGTGCCTCCTGAACCAGCGGCGTAATGATCAACACACGGGTTTTGGGAGCAGTTCAGGTCAGGTCAACCTCACACACGCCCCACTTTTCCTCCCAGCTGGTTTACGACTCCTGATCCTTCAACGTTACAGTGATTGATCGTTCTCAATTCTTGGTCTGTCCACTGGGTTGGTTATTCCCTCGATGGGATGAGAGTTAAACCCCCCAAAGATCCCCGTCTGGTTGCTCGCCGGTACGAAGCTATCCCAGTCCTTCAGTGCCACAGGATCTAACTTTGTATTCATCTAGTGAGTCTCTATGTGATGAGCTGTGATCCTGGGTTAGTATAGAAGAGTTACTAAGCCAATGATCAGCTGTGCGTCGCCCCGTCCTCGCTAAATTAACAAGTCTTTACCTAATGACGTGTTACTTTCACTACCGTCTTGATAACATTCCTCCTTCGTGGATTATTCTATTCTCTCTCTCTCTCTCTCTCTCCTGTATTAAGAACAGAAACATTAAAAGCAACATAGGCAACATAGACAACATAGACAACATAGACAACATAGGCAACATAGACAATAAAACAAACAATTTCATCTCTTAACACCAAACAGTCCTGAGCTGTGTGTGTGTGTGTGTGTGTGTGTGTGTGTGTGTGTGTGTGTGTGTGTGTGTGTGTGTGTGTGTGTGTGTGTGTGTGTGTGTGTGTGGGTGTGTGTGTGTGTGTATGTTGTGTGTGTGTGTGTGTGTGTGATATATGAATAATATTTACGTAAATTCTTCTACGACCATTCGCTTTCTCTCACCAAATATTCGATAGAAGAGAGAAGAAGGAGAAAGAGGAATAAGAGGAAAAGGAGAATAAGAAGAAGATGAAGAGAAAGAAGAGGAGGAGGAGGAAGAAGGAAAATCTACCTCACTCTCAATTATTTTCTCTCACTTATGATTCTTTTAACAACAACAACAACAACAACAACAACAAATATTATGAGCTAAGGACGAAATAACTCCAGTCGACTCCCCATCACTCCTCTCACTCCAGTCGACTCCCATCACTCCCTCTCACTCCAGTCGACTCCCATCACTCCTCTCACCCAGTCGACTCCCGATCACTCCTCTCACTCCAGTCGACTCCCCATCACCTCCTCACCCAGTCGACTCCCCATCACCCTTCCTCACCCAGTCGACTCCCCATCACTCCTCTCACTCCAGTCGACTCCCATCACCTCTCTCACCCAGTCGACTCCCCATCACTCCTCCTCACTCCAGTCGACTCCCCATCACCTCTTCCTACCCAGTCGACTCCCCATCACCTCTCCCTCACCCAGTCGACTCCCCATCACCTCCTCACCCAGTCGACTCCCATCACTCCTCTCACTCCAGTCGACTCCCCATCACCCTCTCACTCCAGTCGACTCCCATCACTCCTCTCACCCAGTCGACTCCCCATCACCTCCTCACCCAGTCGACTCCCCATCACCTCTCACTCCAGTCGACTCCCATCACTCCTCTACCCAGTCGACTCCCATCACTCCTCTCACTCCAGTCGACTCCCCATCACTCCTCTCACCAGTCGACTCCATCACCTCTCACTCCAGTCGACTCCCATCACTCCTCTCACTCGTGTCGATGTCAATGTTATGTCGATCAGCGGCAATACGACTACTGGTGGCTGGTCAGGGCCCTCTCCTCACTGTCATTAATTTACAGAGAGGGACCTCACTAACCTGCCCTCCCCCACCCGCCCCTCCCACCTGCCCCCTCCCTCCCCCTCCCACCTGCCCTCTCCCCCCTCCCTATAGCACCTCACCAACTACAGCATCATAGCACATAAGGGGACGGATCCAGTGGGTGGTCAAAGAGGCCATGGCTCTTCCCAAAGTCAGGTCGAGAAAGGCCGAACTACCTCTTTTAACCTCCTCTATAGAGTTAAGTTACTGTCCGTCGGCCACCCAGGCTACATAACGTTCCATCACATCCCAGAAGGAGTGGGTGTTTTATCATCAGACAGAAAGTAACACAGATTAGGTAACTTTAGTTGTGTCTCTTGTAAACACCTTGATACTGACCATGTTCTTCGTCTTATTAATTAGTGAAATATTGAACACGTTAATAAATATAAATAGATGAATGAATGAATAAAATTACCATATTAATAAGATACCTGCATGAACACTCACCATCACCACCTACACACACTCAGTCCTCCTCTGATCACACTATCACCCTTACTGTGGAAGCCTGGACCTACTGCTTCACTATTGGTTAATAATATAAATTAACATCAAATTAACCTGTCTTGTAATTCTTTAAAAATGCCAGACCTCAATCGTACTACTCTCCGCCCTCCCCCCCACCCACCCCCTCACTCCACCCATATGCTTGGTGCCTGATCCTCCCTCAGCATATTTAAGGTATCGCAGCATATATAGGTTAGGCATCGCAGCATATTTAGGTTAGCACGCAGCATATTTAGGTTGTATTGCAGCATATTTGGGTTAGGCATCGCAGCATATTTGGGTTAGGCATCGCAGCATATTTAGGTTAGGCATCAGCATATTTAGGTTAGCATCGCAGCATATTTAGGTTAGCACGCAGCATATCAACATTCTGGCATTCTACGATCGCACACACCACCGTACAAACGTAGAACCATTGTATAAATTATCAGAGCAAAAGCATCCCACAAACACAGCATTCCCCAACACAGCATCCCAACACAGCATCCCAAACACAGCATCCCCAAACACAGCATCCCAAACACAGCATCCCCAACACAGCATCCCCAACACAGCACCCCAACAGCATCCCCAACACAGCACCCCAAACACAGCATCCCCAACACAGCACCCCAAACACAGCACCCCAACACAGCATCCCCAACAGCATTCCCCAACACAGCATCCCCAACAGCATCCCCCAACACAGCATCCCCAACACAGCACCCCCAACAACAGCATCCCCCAACACAGCACCCCCCAAACACAGCATCCCCAACACAGCACCCCAAACACAGCACCCCCAACACAGCATCCCCAACAGCATCCCCCAACACAGCATCCCAACAGCATCCCCCAACACAGCATCCCCTAACACAGCACCCCAACACAGCACCCCAAACACAGCATCCCCTAACACAGCACCCCCAACACAGCACCCCCAACACAGCACCCCCAACAGCATCCCCAACACAGCACCCCCAACAGCATCCCCCAACACAGCACCCCAAACACAGCATCCCCCAACACAGCACCAAACACAGCATCCCCAACACAGCATCCCCAACACAGCATCCCCAACACAGCATCCCCCAACAGCATCCCCAACACAGCACCCCCAACAGCATCCCCCACACAGCATCCCAACAGCATCCCCCAACATCCCCAACACAGCATCCCCAACACAGCATCCCCAACAGCATCCCCAACAGCATCCCCCAACACAGCACCCCAACAGCATCCCCAACACAGCATCCCCAACAGCATCCCCCAACAGCATCCCCCAACACAGCATCCCCCAACAGCATCCCCAACAGCATCCCCCAACACAGCATCCCCCAACACAGCATCCCCAACACAGCATCCCCCAACAGCATCCCCAACACAGCACCCCAACACAGCATCCCCAACACAGCACCCCCCAACACAGCACCCCCAACACAGCATCCCAACACAGCACCCCAACACAGCCGTCATTCACAGCATCATCAATATTATCTGATAAATGTACCTCTAACACACTGTTTCCTTCGTCTATCGATTATCTTAGAACATGTCGCGTTTATAACAGGTTCTGGACACTATCGGGAAATTACTCCCCATTCATAACTCGTTCAGGACTTGTTATTGTGTAGTGTTGATGGTATGAACACGTTGTACACATGTTAAGGTCGTTATGTAATTTTAGAGAATTTCAGGATATGATAATTAGTGTAGGATGATCTTCAGATGATTTCAGGGATATCAGGAGAGGTCAAGGATGCGTTTTTAGGTGGTTCATGGTAATTTCAGGGACTATGCCCCCCCACACACACACACACACACACCTCTCTGTCAGTTTCATATCCCACTTTCATCCTCCCCGCTACTGTCATCCATCTACTATCCTCTACTTGCTAGCTTCTCCTCCACAGACAGAGGAACAGACAGAAAGAAAGACAGACAGACAGAGATATAAATTAAAAAAGAAAGAGAGAGAATGATGAAAATCGGTTCGTGACGTGTCTGTATGAAGAGGAAGTCACGTTCGTACACACTCACAGCTTCTGAAGGACCCACGACAGATGTGGACGAGACTCCTGCTGGTAAATATTTACTTGGTTAGCTGGGTGTTTGTGCAGCTCTCCTCCCACTACTGAAGAGGAGCTCACGAGACAAACTGACCACAAGAGGAGCTCACGAGACAAACTGACCACAAGAGGAGCTCTGAGACAAACTGACCACAAGAGGAGCTCACGAGACAAACTGACCACAAGAGGTTCAGAGACAAACTGACCACAAGAGGAGTTCACAGACAAACTGACCACAAGAGGAGCTCACGAGACAAACTGACCACAAGAGGACTCACGAGACAAACTGACACAAGAGGAGTTCACGAGACAAACTGACCACAAGAGGAGCTCACGAGACAAACTGACCACAAGAGGAGTTCACGAGACAAACTGACCACAAGAGGGCTCAGAGACAAACTGACCAGAAGAGGAGCTCACGAGACAAACTGACCACAAGAGGACTCACGAGACAAACTAACCACAAGAGGAGCTCACGAGACAAACTGACCCAAGAGGCTACGAGACAAACTGACCACAAGAGGAGCTCACGAGACAAACTGACCACAGAGGAGCTCACGAGACAAACTCACCACAAGAGGAGCTCACGAGACAAACTGACCAAAGAGGAGCTCTGAGACAAACTGACCACAAGAGGAGCTCAGAGACACACTGACCACAAGAGGAGCTCTGAGACAAACTGACCACAAGGAGTTCACGAGACAAACTGACCACAAGAGGAGCTCACAGACAATGACTGCAGGGCTCTCGAGACAAACTGACCACAAGAGGAGCTCACGAGACAAACGACCACAAGGGAGCTCACGAGACAAACTGACCTAAGAGGAGCTCACGAGACAAACTGACCACAAGAGGACTCTGAGACAAACTGACCACAAGAGGAGCTCACAGACAAACTGACCACAAGAGGGAGTTCACGAGACAAACTGACCACAAGAGGAGCTCACAGGGACAAACTGACCACAAGAGGGCTCACGGGACAAACTGACCACAAGAGGAGCTCACGAGACAAACTGACCACAAGAATATAAACTGGAAAACGTGGCCCCAAAGACGCCTTCAAAATAATAAAATTAACAATACTGCAACAACAACAACAACAACAACAACAACACTGACTTAACAATAGACAACAACAACAACAACAACAACACTGACTAACAATAGACAACAACAACAACAACAACAACAACAACAACACTGACAACAATAGACAACAACAACACTGACGCAACAATAGACAACAACAACAACACTGACAACAATGAGCAACAACAACAACAACAACAACAACACTGACAATGATAGACAACAACAACAACAACAACACTGACAACAATAGACAACAACAACAACAACAACAACAACAACAACAACAACAACAACACTTGACAACAGACAACAACAACAACACTGACAATAATAGACAACAACAACAACAACAACAACAACACTGACAACAATGAACAACAACAACAACAACAACAACAACACTAACAACAACCAGACAACAACAACAACAAAGCACGAACAACAATGAAAGCAACAACAACAACAACGCGACAACAATGAACAACAACGACAACAACAACACTGACAACAATGAACAACAACAACAACAACAGCAACAACAACAACACTGACAACAATAGACAGCAACAACAACAACAACAACACTGATAACAATGAGCAAAGCAACAACAACAACAACACTGAGACAACAATGAACAACAACAACAACAACACTGACAACAATAGACAACAACAACAACAACAACAACAGCAACACTGACAATGACAATAGACAACAACAACAACAACAACAACAACAACGCGACAACATGAGACAGCAACAACAACAACAACAACAACAACAACAACAACAACGCGACGATAATAGACAACAACAACAACAACAACAACAACAGCATGACGCAATGAACAGCAACAACAACAACGCTGACAACAATGAACCAGCAACAACAACAACACTGACAACAATGAACCAACAACAACAACAACAGCAACAACAACAACGCTGAGCAACAACCAGACAGCAACAACAGCAACAACAGCAACAACAACGAAAGCAACGCTGACAACAATGGACAGCAACAACAACAGCAACTGACAACAATGAACCCAACAGCAACAACAACAACAACAACAACAACAACAACAACACTGACTTAACAATAGACAAAACAACAACAACAACACTGACAACAATGAACAACAACAACAACAACAACACTGACAACAATAGACAACAACAACAACAACAACAACAGCAACAACAACAACAACAACAACAACACTGAACAACAATAGACAGCAACAACAGCAAGCAACAACAACAACAACAACAACACTGACAACAATAGACAGCAACAACAACAACAACACTGACAACAATAGACAACAACAACAACAACAACAACAACAACAACAACAACAACACTGACAACAATGAACAGCAACAACACAACAACAACAACAACAACAACAACAACAACAACACTGACTTAACAATAGACAACAACAACAACAACAACAACACTGGATTAACAACAGACAACAACAACAACAACAACAACATGAAAACAACAACAACAACAACACTGACAACAATAGACACAACAACAACAGACAACAATGAACAACAACAACACTGACAACAATGAACCAACAACAACAACAACAACAACGCTGAAGCAATGATAGACAACAACAACAACAACAAAGCACTGACAACAATGAACCCAACAACAACAACAACAACAACGCGACAACAATGAACAGCAACAACAACAACAACAACAACCACTGATACAATAGACAACAACAACCAACACTGACAACAATGAACAACAACAACAACAACAACAACACTGACAACAATGAATAACAACAACAACAACACAAATGAACAAAGCAAGCACTGACAACAAAGCAACCAACAACAACAACAACAACACTGAACAACAATGAACAACAGCAACAACAGCAACAACAACAACAACGCTGAAGCAATAATGGACAACAACAACAACAACAACAACAACAGCAACAACGCGACAACAATGGACAACAGCAACAACACTGACAACAATGAACCAGCAACAACAACAACAACAACAACAACACTGACAACAATGAACAACAACAACAACAACTCGAGCAACAATGAACAACAACAACAACAACAACGCGACAACAATGAACAGCAACAACAACAACAACTGACAACAATGAACAACAACAACAACAACAACAACAACAACAACACTGACAACAATAGACAACAACAACAACAACAACAACACTGACAACAATGAACCAGCAACAACAACAACAACGCGACGACAATAGACAACAACAACAACAACAACAACGCTGACAACAATGAACCAACAACAACAGCAAACAACAGCAACACTGACAACAATAGACAACAACAACAACAAGCAACAACAAGCAACAACACTGAAGCAACACAGACAGCAACAACAACAAGCAACAACAACAGCACTGACAACAATAGACAACAACGAGACAGCAATGAACCAACAACAACAACACTGACAACAATGAATAGCAACAACAACAACACTGAACAACAATGAACAAACAACAACAACAACGAAACAACAATAATAACAAAACGACAACAATGAACCAACAGCAAGCAACACTGACTGACAACAATGAACCAAGCAACAACCAACAACAACACTGACAACAATGAACCAGCAACAACAACAACAACAACACTGACAACAGACAAATAAGCAACAACAACACAGAAGCAACAATAGACAAGCAACAACAACAGCATGACAACAATATGAACCAACAACAACAACAAGCAACAACACTGAAGCAACAATAGACAACAACAACAACAACAACAACACTGATGCAACCAACAAAAAACAACACTGACAACAATGAACAGCAAACAACAACGCGACAACAATGAACCAAGCAACAAGCAACAAACAACAACACTGAGCAACAATGAGACAACAACAACAACAACCAGCAACAACAAGCACTGACAACAATGAACCAACAACAACAACCAACACTGACAACAATAGACAACAACAACAACACTGACAACAATGAACTAGCCAACAACAACAACACTGACAACAATACAACAACAACAACAACAACAACAACACTGACTTAACAATGAACCAAGCAACAACAACACATGACAACAATAGACAACAACAAGCAACACTGACAACAATGAACAACAACAACAACAACAACACTGACAACAATAAGACAAGCAACAACAACACTGAGCAACAATGAACAACAAGCAACAACAACAACAACAACAACACTGACAACAATGAGACAACCAAGCAACAACAACAGCAAACAACACAAACTGAACAATAGAACAACCAACAAGCAAACAACAACGCTGAAGCAACAATGAACAACAACAACAACACTGAGCAACAATGAACCAGCAACAACAACAACTTGAACAACAATAAAAGGCAACAACGCGACAATGACCAGACAACAACAACAACAACAACTCGACAACAATAGACAACAACAACAGCACTGACAACAATGAACCCAGCAACAACAAGCAACAACAACAACAACACAAGCAGAAAAACAATGAGACAACCAACAAACAACAACACTGACAACAATGAGACAACCAACAGCAACAACAACACTGACAATAATCAGACCAACAGCAAACAGCAACAACCAAGCACTTAGTTGACAATAGACAGCAAACAACAGCAACAACAACGCTGACAACAATGAGACAACAACAACAACACTGACCAAAGCAATGGACAACAACAACAGCAACAACAACCTGTTGACAACAATGGACAACAACAACAACAACAACCAACAAAACACTGACAACAATGAACCAAACAACAAACAACAACAACAACACTGACAACAATGAACCAACAACAACAACAACAACAACACTGACAACAATGGACAACAACAACAACGCAGGAAGCAACAATGAGACAACAACAACAACAACAACAACGAACACTGACAACAATGAGACAACAACAACAACAACAACACTGAATCAACAATGAAGACAACAACAACAACAACAACACTGACAACAATGAACCCAACAACAACAACAACAACAACACTGAAGCAACAATGAGACAAAGCAATAACAACAACAACACAACAACACTGAGCAACAATAGACAACCAACAACAAGCAACACTGACTTAACAATGAACAACAACAACAACAACACTGACAACAATGAACCAACAACAACAACAACACAGACTGACAACAGAGAACCAACAACAACAACAACAACAACACTGAAGCAACAATGGACAAAGCAACAACCAACAACAACGAGCACTGACAACTAGACAACAACAGCATGTGACAACAATGAACCAGCAAGCAACAACAACAACAACACTGACCCAGCAATGAACCCAACAAACAACAACACTGACAACAATAGACAACAACAACAACAACAACAACAACGCTGACAACAATGAATAACCAACAACAACACGAAGCAATAATGAACCAACCAACAACCAGCAACAACAGCACTGACAA